GCAGCAGCTAGGGATTTCTTTCAATGAGCTTCTGCATTCGAGGTGAGTCTCCTCAATGTTCTATGGGTCGAAGGCACCAATGCCTGCCCATTTGGTTTATGTATTGTAGGAAGACCAGGGGGTAACCCTTGGCAGTTTGTATGAAAGACTAGGAGGCGGCTCCTGGCAATTTGTATGCAAGACCAGAGTCTGAACTCTGGAAATTATTAGTTAAGTAGTTGTAGATTGTATGCTAGTTGTCTTTGTGATGGTTGCATGGAAGACCAGGAGGTGGCTCTTGGCACTTGTTTGTAAGACCTAGGGTTTTGGCCCCCGGCCTAGCAAGGAAGACCACAAGGCGGCTTGTGGCATAATGGCAAGACTATGGTTGGCACATAACACTTTTATTGATTGATTGGATACGTATGATATATATGGCTCGTATAATATGTATGGTATGTGGTATTTGGGGAACTCACTAAGCTTTGTGCTTACAGTTTGTGGTTTATGGTTTCGGGTACTTCCGGTTCGAAAGGGAAGGGCCTGACTTCATCGCAGCGCATACACCCATGTTTTCCGCAATATGTGATTTTGGGAATGAACTCTGATAATTGTTTTATTTTGAAATTCTTTTAAATGTTTGAATAAAGTGACATTAGTATTTTGATTATAATAAAATAAAAATTTTTACCCTTGATTTTCGGGATGTTACAATTTAGGAGAATGATTATCTTTTAATCCCATATATAGTAACAAGGACTCGGTATTCATGATCAAACTTTCTTCTTTATGTTTTAGTCCCATTACTTTCTTCAATCACAACACACTCTTGTGAATGTTAGTATTTTATCCTTAGTACAATACTCAACGGATGGAAGTAATGTTCTAATGGTATTATGAACTTTCATATCTGATTGTAGACTAAACATTCATAAGAACGAGATGTCATTTGATCCTATGGATAGTAGTATGAGCTCATAATTCATGATCAAAACCATCTTCTCTACGTTTTAGTCTTATTTATCGGACATATTAGGTATTTATGCTTTACTTGTCCTTCTTCTTATTTTGGAAATGATTAGCCTATCAGAACATGTCTTAGAACAAGTCTTCATATTCTCCTTAACGTTTAGGCCTAGATTAGGTGTATCGTCACAAATCGCCTTATACCTATGGACAACTGATTTAATTGCTTTTTGACATTTCAGTTCATGATAGTAGATGTAAGAGTCTTTGAAGTTGGAGTTTCTATTATTGGTCATGTTAGTTCCAATGGACACTCAATCATGCCATACAACTCTATATGGACATTTCAAGGTTCTTCATATCCAAAATCAGAATGAACTGATTATATGTACATGTGAGTTAGTTGATCATGATTACCATAATCAACTTCTAACTAAACAAAATTCCATTTCTCTTAAAAATGTTTTATAACTGTTCATATATTTTTTTGAATGTAGTGGAGGGAGGATCTTTAGGATGAGCTTTCTAATAGGCATGATTTCTCTATTCGTTCTTGAGAACAATTCTCAAGCTACGAATTTTTGACTAGATTGATCATCCTACAATCTAATCCCTGTCGAGGTATTATCATAGTATAATTTTGTGGATTTATCTTATAGACATCATTCAATATCAATTACATTCTAGTTTGATTTATTAATCTTTAATATAATTATTAACCCTAAATGAAATTATTGATTAAAGCTTGGATCCATATTTGGCTTCGCGATGGCTAAAGGGATGTCGTAAACACACCACAAAGTTATCTAGGTGGGTAATGCAATTTACTAGTTTCAATCTTTTGAAACTCCTAGATCATTTGAGATTCATTGACATTCAATGACATGTTAAACTCGTTAGTGCTCATCTCGATTCAATGACGGGGATGTCATAGATCATTGAATAAATAGTGAATCAACCATACAAAATCATGTGACATTCGATATAATTTTATTCTCTTGTTGACATGTCGGTTAACCACACACGCTCCATCAACTGAACAATTTCACGAGTGAAACATCATATTAACTTATATTTTCGCAAATGATATGCCGGTTAACCACACACGCTCCATCTTCAAAATATAAGCAGTATGTGTGTTTTCATAGGCAACACATGACTCACGTTTTTAAACATATAAAATGGAAATTTTGTTTTATTACTTGATTAATACTATTAATCTTGAAAAACAAAATCCGATCAAACCATTTTGGTAAGTCCACTCTTAAAATACAAAACGCGTCGAGGGAGGTAAGGATGAAACATTTTAAAAACGACCTCATTGGGAATCAAAGAAGTCTCCTTAAACCAATATTAGAGTGGGTGCACCTAGTCTCAATTCGACCATAATATTTTTAATTAACATGTGAGGACAAATGTGGTATAACCATAATATCTATCGTATATTATACCATATACTAAATTTAAACCTTTTAAATTTATATTATTTTTTTTAACAATCAAATTTAATTCTCTAATTTAAATAATATTCAACTTATTAAATAATCTCAAGGAAAATATTCAAATTTTAAATTTAAGCTTAAATATTAATCAAATTTTAATTAATCAAATATTCAAATTTTAATCCTATTAAACAATATTTCAAATTAATCTAAAATTTGAATTCTCACATTTAAACAATTTAAAATAATATTGTAAACAAGAATCTTATCTCCAATTTTCAAAAAAAAAAAAAAGATAATTTCTAAAACCTAAAAGCCAGGCAAGCGTGCCGCATCCAGAAGGGGGCGCGCTGCAACTAAGCAAGTTTCTTTTCAGTTTTCGATTTTATAAAATATGTTCCAAAAACTAAAACTTATTGGCTCTGATGCCGCTGTTGGGGATTTATTGCATCAAGTAGACTATCTAAAGGTATCAAAATAATCAACAGATTTACCTCAATGCACAGGCATCCTAGAATCTAGGTTTTACTAGTAAGCAACATACTTTAAAATCAAACTGAATAGAAAAACTTACATCTTGATCCTTAGATCATGTGATGGACATCTCTTGCAAAGGATGAAGAGGCCAAAGCAGAACTCATCTAATGTAGTCATGCCCAAGTCTCTAAAAGCATAACAAGGAAAACCCAAATTAGGGTTAGGTCAAAATTTTAATAGCCCTAGAAAGGGGTTATATTTTTTGTCCATAAAGAGAGGAAAAGAGGGCAAAACCAATTTATGAAGGAAAAAAGCATCTAGGGTTTGATTCTTAGCTCCCAATTTATATAGAGAGCTAATAAATCATTAAGCAATTCAAATTCCTAAAGAATAATCTTTACCTTATTCAAATTTCACCTCTTTTCTCTGGATGGTTCTAGAATATTCAAATTAATCCTAAAGATTTAATTAATATTCAACATATTTAATTAATTAAAACTATTTAATTAAATATCAAAATAATTTCCAATTAATTTACTAAATTCTTAATAAATTAACAACTTATTTTCTCCATTTTCATAATGTTATTTATGTCATGAAACCAATCCAAAAGTGTCATGTTATTATTTAGAGGTATTAACAATTAGTTAATGACATTGGACATTATTTCCAACAAAAACTATTTTTGAGGTTGCTTTATGTTAATAAATCAGATTTCAATAAACGAAGTCCATTTCAAGAAAAATATTATTTACGAACTGTCTTCACAAATTCATAGCCAATTTCGCAAAACATGGTTTTCGAAACACCTCTATGTCAAATATATGATTTCATAAATCAATTTTTTTCAAAACTATAGCTATTTTTTAAAAGGATCATTATTATGTAAGAGTATATTTACTTTTTATGCTCGTTAAGGGGTGATGTGCATGCCTTGTCAAGGGTGACACAACACCACCACTCATACCATAAGTCTACGGATTGTCAGGATTGACAAAGATTTTGAAATTTATTCTAAAATACAATTAATGAAATTTACGAAAAAAAAATTCCTTAACAACAGTCTATGGAGCAGCTAGGGTTGTAAACGAACCGAACGAACATGAACGGTGCTTGTTCATGTTCGTTCGTTTAAGTTAGCCGAACAAATAAACGAACACGAGCGGATAAACGAACGAATTTTCTTGTTCATGTTCGTTCGTTTAACAAATTACATTGTTCATGTTCGTTCGTTTATGTTCGTGAACATGCTAAACGAATAAAAGCAAACGAACATAAATGAACAAAGATAAAAAAACATAATTAAAGATATATGAACATAAATAAATATATAATACACTAATGTAATCAAACACAATTAAGCATATGTGAACATAAAACGAACTTATATGAACGAACATAAACGAACGTAAACGAACAACATAAACGAACGTTCACGGCCATAATTGAACGAACGGGAGCATTGTTCATGTTCGTTCGTTTAACTAAACGAACGATAATTTGTGTTCATGTTCGTTCGTTTATTAAATAAACGAACATAAACGAACTTCTCGCCGAACGGTTCACGAACAGTTCGTTGAACGTTCAGTTCGTTTACAGCCCTAGGAGCAGCTATTTCTTAGAGTTTTGTATTTACAATATGTCCTATGTAATTTTTTAGAACAATTTACACACGCATCTACTGCTCAATTCTTAAATCTATATCTTTTATCTACAACAAAAATTAAATCATTAACATTTGGCTGATGGGTATATATTCGTGAGTATATATTCGTCAACTCCTAATACTAGTGTTATGCTAAAAACATTTTGGTATAGACACTATGTAATTGATGATCATTTTGAACAAAGTTTCAAATTCGTAAATCTTTTGTTATATTTGTTTTTATGGTTATTTTTGTGATTTTCTTTTAATTAAAATAGTTAGTTCTTGATGATTTGTTTTAATCCATTTTGCAAAATGTAAATAAAATCATGTTTTTTTGTTATATTTGATTCGTATAATATAAGATATACAAAATACGGTTGTAAGATTACCCAAAATAGACATTCATGTATGTGTCTGTTTTGTTAAGAGGCTGAAACATGATGGAGTCTATTCTCTCTTTCAACCTCTACCAAATTTTTGCCGATGGAGTCCCATGGTGTCATTAAATTTACGGTTTTGCCACTCCACCTCTGTATAAGTATTCATTCAAATTGCAAAACACACAGACACACATACACTCTATCATTATAATATTAATCAAATAAAAATATCGATACTGAAAAGGCTTCTTTTTTCTACTGAACTTTCTTCCGACTTCGTCTCCTACAATCTCTCCGTCTCTCAATTTCTACGCTTTCAACCGCAATATTGCATCATCTATGTACGTATATCTATCAATTCTTTCGTAAATTTCGCCAATTGGTGTACTATGGTTACCAATTTGCGACTGTTTATGCAGATGGTGGTTTGATCAGGGGTTTTTTTTATTGAGTTGAGGAATTGAATTTGATTGACGAAATGAGAGTAAAGGAGATGCATCCGTTGTGTTGTATATCGCTGGAAAGTCCATCGATCGGGGACCAGTCGCCGGAACCGAGGATGAAGTTGTCAAGGTCGTGTTCGGTGGCGGACATGAGATCCGACGGCAATGCCGTTGGATTGAGGAGGTCTGGATCTGAATCCTGTTCTGGCAGCACAAGCTTCGCCGGAGTGTTATACAAATGGACAAATTACGGCAAAGGATGGAGATCGAGATGGTTTTTGTTACGCAACGGCGTAATTTCCTACTCGAAGATCCTCCAACCAGAAACCCTCGCTGCCGGAGAAGACGTTAGGTTCATCGGCGACGTGTCCTCCGGAAGACTTAAACGTCTCGATAGAAGCGGTAGTAGCAGGCATCAGAAACATCAGAAAGCTGTTGGAATCGTTCACCTCAAGGTAATCAAACGACTTCGAACCATATAACTACTAAATTAAACCAAAAGCAAAAGGTTTTAGCAAGACACAACACAACACAGAGACGGTATGTTCCAATCGCTTTTTCACGGAAAAGTTTCCTTTAACGGCAAAAAGTTGACTCCGGTTGTACATCTTTTCCGTGCCGCCATGAATTGCCTTGATATCCGAGCTCAGCCCCATTGACCATTCTCTGTATGCTGATAAAATACACGTATAATAACATCAGCATTTATTGAATTTTGTATATGATTGATATATCAGTTCAGTAAATACTTGGAAATTATTACTCGATTGTTTTATATGAATATATGTGGGTCACATCAGCAGGGCCACATAGCAATTTGCAGCCTGGCTTTATTTTGTGGTCACGACGACTGCTTCACCCAGTTTTTTTTTTCTTCGTCGCTTTAAACTTGGATAAGAGTTTTCCTTGTCTTACAAGTCCCACTTCCTTTAGATCTTGTCTTTTGGTCAGTTTTTTGCGTCTCTTTCTTTTACTTGGGTTGATTCATTCATGCTTACATGGATGGAAATATGCAAGTATATACAGTACAATCACAATCACAATGCGATTAATAGTTTTTTTTTTATTTGCAGGTTTCATCATTTCGAGAGAGCAGATCAGATGATAGGCGATTTTATATATTCACAGCTACAAAGACACTCCATCTCCGGACAAGTTCAAAGAAAGACAGAGTTGCCTGGATTGAATCTTTAGCCTCAACCAGAAGTCTATTCACCCTACGAAGATTAAATTATAAACCCTCTATCCTACCACCTGACCTATCATTGTCAACTGAAAGATTAAAGAAACGCTTGCTTGAAGAAGGAATCAGTGAGGTGCTCATCAAAGACTGTGAGCAGATCATGCTCTTGGAATTTTCTGAAATTAAAGGACAAGTTCAACTTCTTTGTGAAGAGCGTTCAAATCTGCTCGACACCTTAAGGCAGTTGGAGGTATATTTTTAATTCTTCTTGTTTAGTAATAAATAAATTCATGATCACCTGTGGTTGTTATGTGTATGGTTTACCTAATTATAATCAGAAGAAGCATTAATCTTTGCATGAATCAGGCTGCTAATATTGAAGGTGAAACATCTGGAGTTCCTGAAGGTGACTATCAATTGACACAACAGGAATTTACAGATCGTGGAAAATACAGTGGTATGCTATTTCTTACTATTACAGTATTGTATAAATATAAATATATTTAATTGTGGAGCTTGATATTCAGAATGGAGTACAACCGAATCATCACAAGAACTAGAGGATCAGGGTTCAGAAGATGAGGAGACTTGCTTCTTTGACACAAAAGATTGTTTTCCTAGAGCTACTGATGTAATGGGTGAAGTGATTATTGAGAGGAGAAAGAAGCTTCCGGATCCTTGTGAGAAAGAAAAGGGTGTGAGTCTGTGGTCCTTGATTAAAGACAACGTTGGAAAGGATCTGACACGTGTCTGTCTCCCTGTTTATTTCAATGAGCCAATTTCATCTCTACAAAAATGCTTTGAGGATCTGGAGTACTCTTACCTTCTAGATCGTGCTTATGAACATGGAAACAGTCTTGAAAGAGTTTTAAATGTTGCTGCTTTTGCTGTTTCTGGATACGCTTCTTCAGAAGGACGACATTGTAAACCTTTCAATCCTTTGTTAGGGGAAACTTATGAGGCTGATTACCCTGAGAAAGGAGTCCGATTCTTTTCTGAGAAGGTGAGTCATCATCCTACTCTCATAGCTTGTCATTCTCAAGGTAGAGGATGGAAATTTTGGGGGGACAGCAACATCAGAACTAAATTTTGGGGGAGATCAATTCAACTTGACCCTGTTGGCCTTCTTACCTTAGAATTTGATGATGGTGAGGTTTTCCAGTGGAGCAAGGTATGTAAAACTTTTTTAAAAAAAAGGGTAAAATGGTCATTTAGTCAAGTTTCCCCGTATTTTATTCATTTTGTTTTTGGTCTCATCAGGTTACAACCAGCATTTATAATCTTATTTTGGGTAAAGTATACTGTGATCATCATGGAATGATGCATATACGTGGTAATAGAGAATATTCATGCAAGCTCAAGTTCAAAGAACAGTCAATTCTTGAAAGAAACCCACGCCAGGTAAATGCTTAAAAAATGGTGACATTAATATAAATTATAGAATTTTGATCCCTAATTATTGTTGAACAGGTACATGGGTTTGTTGAAGATGCTAACGGAAAAAAGCACGCAACATTATTTGGGAAATGGGACGACAGCATGTATTACATAAATGGAATTACAAATGTGAAACCAAAGGATATGAGTGATGCACATCTATTGTGGCAAAGGACACTGCCTCCTGTTAATCTCACTCGATACAATCTAACATCTTTTGCCATCACATTGAACGAGTTAACCCCAGGACTACAGGTACAAATCACAACTCATTCATTCAAATTCAAACTCTTGATGATATCAATTTCATTTAAGATTTGTTTTTCATCTGTTTTGGGTGTTTTTTTTTCAAAAAAAAAAAAAAAAGGAGAAGCTTCCACCTACGGATTCACGACTCAGGCCAGACCAACGACACCTTGAGAACGGTGAATATGACATGGCAAATTCAGAAAAGCTCCGTCTTGAGACCAGACAGAGAATGGTATGCTTTCTTAACCTTAACCTTTTGTTAACGGTTTTTGACATTAACCTTTGAACTTATGAGGAACACATTGTGAATATTGATAATATTATTTGATTTAATATTTTCTAGTCACGAAAACTACAAGAAAATGGATGGAAACCGCGATGGTTTAAAAAAGAGGGTGAAGACGGGACGTATCGGTATGTAGGTGGATATTGGGAAGAACGAGAGGATGGTAAGTGGGAGGGTTGCCCGAATATATTTGGTGAATTTAGTGACGATTCCATCAACACATCCTGATTTATCCCAAGGTAAATTACTTTTATCTCTTTTTCTTTTCTATGGTAAATAAAAGAAAAAGTAAACTTAAAGAGACCTTTTATCATGTTATAAATGCAGGGAGAAAGGGAGGAGGTACAAAATCCATATATATGTATGTATGTATGTATGTATAAAACCCAATTCTTCAAGATTCTTAGTGTTTGCTGAAAGAAAAAAGATATAGATAACAACAATCTTCGGGTGGGTGGCGTAACGTTGGCACTTGGCACTAAAACTAGCTAGCTAGCTACTTAATTTAGATGTGTATCTTTCGGGTTATATATATATATATATATATATATATATATATATATATATATATATATATATATATATATATATTGGATAGACATTATTCATTCATTGCCTACAACATATATATGTCAAAATTTTAAGTAACTCTAACTGTTCATATCACTTTCGTCATTATCTTGATCATCACAGATTTTACAAATTAAAACTTTAGATAAAACAAATTAGTCCACATAAATATGCATCATCATCATCATCATCTTCAAGCGCCAAACTTGTCTTCCTCCAACTCAATGGCAACGCCCTCCCCAGCAAGCCTATGTTCCCTATACACATACCATTTGGCCCCTATCAAATACAAGCCCATGTTCAAAACACTTAGAATTGCCAACAACCAGTAGAAGTTGTAAAGCTTTCCTTTGTTCAAGTTATCCGCTAGCCATGGCTCCTTCTCCCCTGTCACCTTATGCACTATACTCACCAACAACGAGCTAAAAAAGAACCCTAACGACAACGTACTCAAAAACAACCCTGTACTCATCGTCTTCATCCCTTTCGGGCACTCTCTCAAGAAGAAATCAAGCTGCCCGATGTAAGTAAACGCCTCCCCTGACCCCACCAAGAAAAACTGAGGAACCAACCAAAACACACTGAGTGGGACCACCTTTGACGGGTCGTTGACCAACCCATGGGTCTGAGCCATGCGAAGTCGTTTGATCTCGGTCAACGCTGCTGCAACCATAGCTAACGCAGACATGACTAGGCCAACCCCGATCCGTTGAAGTGGGGTTAGCCCTTGTGGGTGTTTGAGGACCCGTCTGGCGACTGGGACGATGATCCGGTCGTACACCGGAACGGTCAACAGAATGCTCCCCACGAAGAAGACGGTCAACGACGCCGGAGGGATGAGGAAGGATTTTCCGATGTGGCGGTCCATGGTGGTGGCTTGTGACACTGAGAAAGTTGTCATTTGGGCGTATATTGTCCAGAACATGATTGTCGTCGCCCAAATCGGGAGCATCGTGATCACCATTTTCACTTCTTCTACGTCGGTTGAAGTCGAAAGGTACCATTTGTTCACCTCCTTCACAGTCTCACTGTTCTTGATTGCCGCCTTGTCGAGAAAACTGTAAATATGAAAAGGTAAAAAAATATATATATATTATTATTATCATTATAAAGATATACTGTATATTTTAATCGAGAGAGAGAATTAATCTTGATTGATATAGAACCACGTCATAAAAAAAAAAAAATTGTTGACAGACTGGGTTCATCTTCAGGTGCTCGTGAACTTTTTTCGAATCACACATGCATCTCATTTTGATACATTAAAATATTATTATTTAGTGCATTATTTTGTATAGTGATAGTGTATATGTTTTATTAAATTAAAAACCGACAGACATGGGGTGTAAGAAATAGATATCATATTTAATTGATTTATTTAAGATAAATGACTGACCGGAACTGTTTGCTGTGAGGCAACTTCTGTTTAAGGTTTTTTCCGTCAACTCCAACTCCTTGGGTAACATCATCGACATTGAACAACAAGGAAGGATCCGACGGAAGCTCCAAATGCCTCTTCCTCCATGCTCCGATGAAAACCGATGCTATTTGGGTTAACGGACTACCCACGAGCTTCTTAAACCGGTACCTTCTTGTACCCGACAAGAAGATCACCAACCCTAACCCAATTGAACACGCCACGATCCCATACCCCCACCGCCGCCCTAGGTTGTCCTGGATGTAAACCAGAACCGTAACTGCCGCCAATGACCCGATACTTATGAAGAAGAAGAACCAGTTGAAAAAGGTTGTCATTTGGGCCTTTTCCTCTTTGTCCGTTTCGTCGAACTGGTCCGACCCGAAACCCGATACACTGGATTTTAACCCTCCGGTTCCCAGAGCAGTTAAGTAAAGGGCCAGGTACAGAACGGCTAACTGGAGATCGGTCGCCGGAATGCAGGAACCACCGGTTTTGGAACATTTTGGTGGTTGTAGGCTTGGAATGGCGGTTGAGATCGTTAATATCGTCACACCCTATATATAAATATACATGAAACGTAAAAAAATTAATATATATATATATATATATATATATATATATATATATATATATATATTATCTAATCAGAACTTCAGAGCTGAATGTTTTTGGAATGGAAGAGTAAAAATAAATTAAGTACTTACCGTTGCTTGCACCGCCGTGAATATTGCAATTGTAAGATAGCGGCCGAGAAAGGTGTCGGCGACGAAACCGCCGAGGAGACATAACATGAAAGAGGTACCCATGAAGTTAGTAACGTCGTTAGCGGCGTTAGCCTGTCCTAAATGCATAGTACCAGTCAAATACGTCACTAAATTAACGGCGATACCCAACGTCGTTAGCCTCTCACACGCCTCCACCCCTAAATAATTAAAAATAAAAACATCAGATCACGATATATACGTATAACGACAAAAACAAAAATAAAACATCTCCGGTGACTGTTTCAGTCACTTAAGTGATTGAAAACTAAGCCGCCGTGGGTGGAGGTGGACCTAGAATCATGGCGGCACTAGTCCAGCCGCCGGTGGTGGAACGGGGTGCCGGCCTGCCTTTGTAGTCCCAAGCGTCCGGTAGAGTTTTGACCATTTGTGATTCCGGCAGCGACATGTTATGGTTTTGTATAATATTTTGGAAGTGAATGAAGAGCTTGGTGTATCCGTGTATGTGTATATATGCAGTATGTTTTGAGATGCTAAAAACACTATAAAATTGAGTTGTGGGAAGACCGACCTTGTCTTTTTATAGCCGTGACAATGTCACACATCAAGTCGTTTTTTTTATTTATTATTATTTTCTTGTTTTAAACCTCGTAAACTTGAATAATATTAACCTATTTTATTTTTTAATCATATTAAAACTTTTAGTTTTTATGTGAAAGTTACCAGATAAATAAATAAAATCCGGCTTTATTAGTTACTTTGCGCATTTTTTTTGTCAAAATTGGTACACGTACATGTTTTTTTTTATAAGATTTTCTTTTTTATAAAAAGAAACTTTTCTATTGAGTGTTCATGTGATGGTCGTACTTAACATGGAAAGTTATTGTGGGGTAAATCATAATTGACTTTATTTGGCTTAAAGACCGTTTAGAGTTTGACACGTCAAAAAGTTATGAATATTTGTGACAAGAAGCTAAAAGTGCAACTAGCCTCATTACACTTGGTTTTACTTCATTTAATATAACAACTCATTATACGTGGTTTTACACGATATAATCACTTCCATTACTCCATTATTAACTAATTTTTTCAAATTGTAAACCTTTCTATTTTGGCAAGTTTATATATTCATATATTTGAATATTATTATATTATACAAAGATTCATAATGACCAATAATTATTTTTCATAAATTTAAATACTTGAAAAGAAAAGAAGTAAATAAAAGGGATGAATGAATGGGCCAAATGTTAATTGTTAAACCCATACAGATTAAAGATACAGGTGCTGCAGTGCTTGCTTTTAATTAATTGAAGGCCAACCAGCTACACATGACAATGTCCTTCCTTCACTTAACCACGGGATAATCAAGGCTGCTTGTACTCTTGTGGCCACCATCCTTAGCTTTTCCTCAACTTTACCTTTATTACATGCAAATATAACCTCTCTTTTTTTTTCTTTTCTTTTTTTAAATAATAATAATAAAGTAACTATTGAATTTAATTAATTGCTTTTGATGATAATTTGATATGCATGTATATTGGCTTAGAATGTCGATGAGCATGCGATGTTTAAGTGTGATATGTTGATGTTTCGTATGTGGAGACTAATCGGTAAGATTTTTGTTAGTCAAATATGTAAATCGCAATAGGATTTTGGTTAAGATGATTGCTAATTACGTACCTAAACCAATAATCAGATATGTTGACGTTCCTAGGCCCCATTGTTGGAAATGAATTTTGACAAGTGTAGACGCGTACAAAAAAACGTTTTTTGAGTTGTAGTCATCTAATTAGATTTTATTTTCTTAATTCATAAAACATGTTATCTTTGAATTGTCATATCGTTAGCTGATTGAATGTACAAGAGGGGAACGTGATAAGTTACTCTTCGGTTCACTATTTATCATTTAAAAGTTGTTGGTAGGAAATGATTCTGATTCAGTTGCTCGATTCATGATCACTGTGAATTAATACTAAATGTCAAAACGAAGAGGTAGCAATATAAACTAGTTAGGTTGGCAGCATGACCCTAAGATTGTTTTTTCCTTGATAAACTATTTTTTTACAGCCTAATAAAATTTCCGTAATTCCAAAAAAAAAAATGTCAGATGGATACCACAAAACCTTTGCATTTAAATTTTTTTATGCCACATAATCAATGGTATGAAATACCTAACATTTACAAGAAACATCCTACCTAATAAATGAAAGTTTTTGCCACGTGTCATCATCTAATTCAATATGTCAAATGATATTTTTTTTAATTTTTTCAATTTCATTAAAATCCACTTGGCAAATTATGGTTTTTTTTGGAAAGCAGCCATGTGGCAGCATACTGCTTCTGACAGATCAATACTCAGACAGTTTCCTTGTTTAGGGCGGTATCAACTAATTGGGTTTTCAGGTGTATGAGAAGTATCTAGATGTTGGAACCCCCATATATCAGAAGTTGAATAGATAGATGGGAGACAAGCGGACTCGGCTCAACAATAATGAATTAGTATGAGAGGTCTGTCAGGGAGCCAGTCCATTTCGAGACTTCAGATTTCAGATTGAGTAATGTAATTATAGTGCGGGGGAATTCGTCCATTTTCGGGTTTTAAAACCCTGTTAGGGTTGGTTCTGATTGCCTTGGGAAGGCTAGGGTTATGCTCGGGATTATAAGTTGTTTGGCGTGTAAGGAATGAGAAGAAACGATTTTGAGGACGGAATCAAATTTAAGTGGGGGAGAGTTGTAACATCCCATTTAAAATATAATAATTAAATAATAAACCCGGAACCTCGAGAAGCAATTATTATTATTATTTTATATTATTATTGTCCAAAATCATGTAATAATTAGCGGGATGTTGGTTTCGGGGAACCAAATGACAAGATTTGAATATTCGGGGGTTAAAGTGTAATTTCGGGATTTATTTTGCAAAGGATTTTGAAGACAGGGGTTGTTTGGTAAATATTGGGCTCAGATTGAAAAGATTTTTTGGAAGCTGGGGGCTAAAAGGTAAATTTTGGACCTAAATTGAAGAGGGCTTTTCATAGGAAGGGCTGTTTGGTAACTTTTGGATTGAAATTGAAAGAAAGAAAAGATAGAGGGACTAATTTCGTTATTATGGGAAAATGTTATAAGGGAGCTGGGGTATAAAACCCACTACCATCGTTCTAACCCTAACCCTAGAACTCAGCCGCACCACCCTCATACCTCCCCTTCCCAGCCGCCACCCTACACCTTTACTCCCTTCAACCGTCACCTTTGTCGCCGCCGGAGATCAATGGAGTGCCATCGTCAAGAGCCGTTAGGGAGGAGTTTCTAGGACCCGGGATCAACGACGGACAGCAGGCAACCTTAGGGGTGCTGCCGGATTCGCATCTCCGCCATTACGCCATTTCTGTCGAAAACGGGTTGCCACCGCTACTGTTGTTCCGTCGACGACAACGACCACAAGAAGTCGTTACCTTCTCTTCTCCTTCTTCAGCCGTCAACGACGAAGAGTCTCACGTCGAGACTGAATCTGTGAGCCGCCGCTGGAGACCATTAGACGTGAGGTTGAATCGGTGTTGTGGTCGTGAGAAGGGCAGGTCGAACCTGTTGCTGTGGGTCTCAATGTCGCTGTTGCCGATGCATAACCGCGGCCGTTAGCCGTTAGATGCCGTCGTTTGTCACGGTTGTGGCCATTAGGCTTGCTGCCGCCATCATCACGCGCCACCAGGTGGGGTGGCTGGGCCTATCTTGCATCAGAAGTGTGTGTGGGTCATGTGGGTGTCGTGTGCGCATAATTATCTTGCCCGGAGTTACTAGAAAGCCACCACCACCATCGTGAGGTGGTGGCTGCCACTCTCTACCACCGTTTGCGACCACAGGGTGGTTGTAGGTGTAATTATTGGAAGTTTATTTTGGGCCATTGTGTGTATTATTGTAATTTGTAACCGGAATAATAATAGAAAAACTTGAAACCACCACCGTGAGGTGGTGGCTACCGCCTCCTTCCGCCACCAGCCGCCGTGTTGGGTGGCGGTGTGTCTTGTTGTGTTTCGGACTCGTTTGGGATGTTTGGACTAAGTGGGCCCAATGAAGCCCTAATGGGCCCAATGAAACCCTAATGGGCCCAATAAAGCCCTAAGTGACCTAAAAGCCCAACCATTTGATTAATGGGCTAGTATTGGGTTGGAAACCCTAAATAGGGTTTGGAAAACCCTAATGGCATAAAACCCTAATTTTGGGAATTGATCGGGACACACACGGGAATTATTTAATAAACCTAAAGTAATAATTAATAATCATTGGCAAATTAACCTAAGGCAATATTGGACTTAATGGATTAAGTCCTTAATGGGTTAAGTAAAAAACACTTAACCCTAATTGTCATTTATGTGAAACCCTAATTTCACTTGGGCTTTGTGTTGGGCCTTTACATTGGGCTTTGGTAATTGGATTATTAATGGGCCATCCAAGAATGATCATATGGACTAGAACATGTTGATGGTTTTAGGATAAGGACCACGTGAGAGTCTTGGGCCCAATTTGGAAAATTGGGCCATTGATGGGCCATAATTGGGACTTTATGATTATGTGATATCGGGTCATGGGAATACCAAGAGTTTAGGCTAGAATAATTGGATGGGCCTTATGGAAAGACCATGTAGAGGTTTGGGCCTAATTTGGAAAATTGGGCCATATGTTGGGCTTTAGTCCATTGGTTGACTATTGGGCCTTTGGAGTGTGAGTTGGACCTTGGGCTTGGAACCCAATTATTAATTGGGTGTTGTTTGATGTTGACAGCTCGGGAATCTGTCAACCAGCAGCTAGAGTTTTATCCGCGGGACTTCAGCAGTGCCAGGTGAGTTCTCCTTACTATATCGACAGGGTCTAAGGCACCAATGACGGCGCTTATCGGATTTGTATCCGAGTTTATTGCATGATATGCTTATTGATTTACATCCTGGTAATTAGGATGGTGATATGCTTAGTGACCTGGTAGGTTGGTATCATGGTTTATAGGATTATGTTATGTTAGTGATATATTAGATCGGTATCCTAATTATAGGATGGTTGCTATGTTATTGATCGGTTAGATCTATATCCTGGTTATAGGATGTTGTTATGGTTATTGATCTGTTAGATCGGTTGATTGTTATATATGCTAGCGTATGATATTTATGTGCACATGTTTGTTTGATTTGGGGTTGGGTTGAGGCGGTCCTGCTTTGTGCTGAAATCCAACATACCCAGGGCGGTCCGGATAAACTGCAGGCCCTGCAAAGGGATTCAGTCAGGCCGAAGGCCCAGCGAGCTCTCCGGATAGGCTGTAGGCCCTATGAGGCGGTCCAGATGTGCCGAAGGCTCGGAGAGTAGTCCAGACAGACTGAAGGCCTGCGAGGCGGTCCAGTCAGGCTGACGACTCATTATGCATGTTGTTTTGTATTTGTTATATGATATGGTTATGTTTGTATGGCGTTGGTATTTTGGGGGAGCTCACTAAGCTTCGGGCTTACAGTTGTTGATTATGTTTCAGGTACTTCTGATGAACGCGGGAAGGCGAAGGCGTG